TGTGCCTTTGCACTCTGCCATTCTACCCCTGCTCTCCATTTTTGTTTCCTCTTTTTGTGCGAGCTCGACGTGCACACTCGCCGTGCCACGGATTTTCAACTTGGTCCTCATCAGTTGAGCGCCTGATGAAACAAACACTGACAGCCTCTTTACATTTGTAAAGGCCCCTGCAGCAGCTGTGCTTGTCTCACACACACACACACACACGCATGTGCAAGCACGCACGCACGTGTGCACACCAACATACACACTATGAATCACAGGCCTGGTCCCAGCTTGGGCCTACAGGAAGAGCAGACTCGGCACAAAATGGCCTGGTTGCACCAAGCACCACTCTACTCCGCTGTGCCCCACACACACACACACACACACACACACACACACACACACACACACACACACACACACACACACACACACACACACACACACACACACACACACACACACACACACACACACACACACACTTTATGTCATGTTTTGTTAGAAAGCCAGCTCGCCACACATTAGTTCTCGTTGCTCGTTTAAAATAAACCATAGCTGCCTGGTTTTACTTGTTTTCTATTATACGGCAATTTCCCCTGGTCCTAAATCATTTATTGTCTGATAAATTTTAATACCATATGCCAATGGCGAGTGTTAGTTGGGAGCACGAGGTGGGGGTTAAGGGGTAACAACCCACACTTGTGTTTCAGGGGAAATGGTTAAGCCAAGCATGTATAATTGTCTTACGCTAATTAGGGGGAGGCAGAGGAGAGAGAAAGGGGGAGGGGTGATCATTCTTTACCTCCCCCTTAAACCTTTAAAGAGGAGGGGGGTCTTGAGGAGCCGAGATCGTGTAAAAACGAGTGTTTTGCGCTTATTTTGGTCCGAGTCAGACATTCTGAATCGACCACAGCTGGCAAAAACACGTGACAGATGTGGTACATACATGACAGAAACATGCCTCCTGCTGTATGGCACCATTTCTGTTTTAAAAGCCGTCCAGTTTAAGATAGATAATGCCGCTCGCCTAGCGCCGGGTGAACGTATGAATCATTATTTCCCCAACAAGCAACAGGAAACTATGGTTAGACACAACTAATGTTACCGAAACTACTCAAATACACCCCGTCATGGTATATAATCCATCAAGAAACAGCTACACTTCTTTTTTCAGCAACTTCAAAGGTCTGTCCCCTCTAACTTAACTCACATTTGTGCTGCTTTGCAATAAAGGCCGATACATCAGCACATTGTGTTACTGACACCGACGTGCTGAAAGGAAACAAAAAACATCTGTCGACCATAAGGGGGTCATGCAGATGTGTTAAAGTTAAAAAAATAGCTCTTAAGACACTAGAGTTCATTCAAACTGATTTAGTTTAGATCTTTAAAGGTTGGTTTGTATAGGAAATAATAACGTCTTACTTGTTGTTGATAGCTCTTTGAACAACCTCAGTTTGGTGAAATGGGTTTGCTTTTCATTTAAAAAGGGAGCTGGTTACGACATTGCTGAATTGGTTTTATAATATTTAAAGTACCACAACAGCTCAGACCAGAAACCTTCACATTAAATGACTGTTAGCATATGATTCGGTAGTTATCTGAAGCAAAAAACTAGCTTCTCTACGTTTTTTGTTTCACGCCGTCATGTTTTTTTTTGGGATATTAGAAGATAAATCTATGTTTTCTAACATTTTAACAAGACACCAGTGCTAACTTTAATTAACTCATTCACTGCCAGCCATTTCTTGATCACTAACGGCCTTCGCTGCCAGCGTTTCTCACCGTTTTTACTGTTTTTTAAGAGTTACAGAACGTTGCGCGCTAGCATGATGTCGATGCCAAAACAACCAAAACAAAGAGGAGACTCACCTCTTACATCAGGAAGAAGCCGCGTGTTTCGAACGTTATTCGTTCTTTCATAATCCGTTGTCGAATTGTGATCGGCAGACGCTTTTCCGGTGTGCGCCTCACTTTTTTTTTTTACAGGAATGACCCAAAACGATCTCCAAACACATGGATGTGTTGCTTCCTGATCATGTGATCTGTGACGTATGAGGATGAAGATCGGCTTCAGGGCTGAGATGTTTGTTCTCTCAGCGCGGGGGCTCGTTCCGATGCTCAAACAGTAAAAAATGCAAATGACGACTTCGTCATTGGCAGTGAACGGTTGGATCTAAAATGACGACTTTCGTCGTCAATGGCAGTGAATGAGTTAAAAAGTGAGCCAGTTTGTCCAAACTGTGGCTGGAAGAGCTAACAGCAAGTAACAATGTTGCAAAATGTGTCAAACAAGCCTAATTTATACTCCTCTGTCTGCGTCGGTACGTAGACACGCAACACCATTATGCGTCGGCACAGGGATTCTCCGACGGGCTCACGGAGAGAGACGAGACATGTCCATTTGTCGAAAGTGACGGAGACTGCAAGCTTATGATTGGTCAGGAAGTTGTTTCCTTTAAATTAGCCAACAGCAGCACCATTACCTCGTTTAAAACAAAGCTATTTAGCAGCAGACACTGAACCGACTGAAGAGTGCATCGTGGGAAAAAGTTCATATATATTCCCTCGTGACTGAAGGAGTACCAAAGATACTCGGCCGGCGTTTTATTTGTGGACTGTAAAGACGATAAACGTGAGTTTAGAGGTGGCGACCGCATGAAGAGGTGGAGAATGAGGGACAAATTTGTGTTAAAAAATCTCTGAAATACATTAAAACAATAAAAACACTAGTGGTGCACCGATATGAATTTTTGGGCCGATACTGATATTAATATCACCGTTATGGCCGATAACGATATTTGCAGATACCGATATTCTGACATTAATGCTTCAGATTTTGTATAGGATGAAAATTATTAAAGCTGAATTGACTTTATTGTGTATAAACACCACACACATTTACATTTCTAAGACGATTACAATCACTGTCACATGACTAAACAAATACACATCACCCCCACCCCACCCACACACATACACTCAAATGGAAACAAGATGGTAAAATATCAATTGTTAATATCGTTTTATTTATCGGACCGATATGTTAAAAAATGACTAACATCTGACAATACCAATATTGATGCAGAAATATTGTGCATCCCTAAAAAACAATAGTATGTACACTATTGTGGGCCGGATACATAAGCGTAATGGTGGCAGGGTACCCCAGATTAACGCTACACCCTCTTTTGTTCCTGGAGGGGAATTGCTTTGCAACACTCCCCAGGTGATGGAGAAGTCCTAAAGTAAAATGACAATGCGTCTCTCCCTCGCGGAGCTGATGGAGAAGTATAAATCTGGTTTAAATTGCAACTGTGACTTAAAAAGCCACAGGAAAGCTAGTTTTTTGCTTCAAACAATAACACAATTATTTGCCAACAGTCATATAATGTGAAACATATGACGTGAAGGTTTATAAATGACTACTGGGATGAATGTCAATGAAAGTTTTGAGACAGTAAAGTAATTTGGAGACTGGCCCCCAATTTGGCCATGGCTAATCTTTGTTTCCCCAAACTGAGGTTGTTCAAAGAGCTACAAACAAAAGGGTGAGACATCAGCAGCTCAAAGATTTTCTCCATAAAAAAATAAATTCAAAACCTGTTGCTCATTTGAACAAGAATATATTTAAATCAGGAGTTTTCTTTTGAAGAATTATGAAACCAAATGAGCTGTGGGGAGTTTTCAGAGCTTTCCCCAAGTGGTGTTATGTGTCGAGTATGTTTGCTCTGCTGACTTTAGATTCAAAAGCTAAAAACACAACAAATGTTTTATTTTGGAGGCAATAATCCACAACAACAACGAATCCGCACATCAAAAGAAGTGCAACTAACTTTAAAGCACCCATTCATGAAGGCCTAGAGTTAAAAGTGTGCTAAAGCCATGCCTCGTGTGTTCACCCCATTCTATTTTAAAATGTCAAAAATAAAATTCTGATTTAAAGCCTGTATCCACAGCCTCCTTGCTGTGAAAACTCACCAGAAAAGAAAATGGTCGCTTCTTCGCACATAAGCCTCTGCAATGCGACTGAACACACAAGCCTTTATGGGTTTTTATTTTTAAAGCCCGGGACGTTTAAGGAACACGTTGTTCACACACGCCCGGGCCGAGGACCGGGCCGTTTGGGGCAAGTCCGGGTGGCTGAAGGATGCGACCCAAAAGGACGGCTAGCTAAGCCCCCTCTCCTGCTGCTCGTAGTGGTAGTATCGCAAAAAAATGGAGTTGAGCCTCAGCGAGCAGCCTGCCGCAAAACATCCACTCCTCTACAGAGGTCACCTGCCAGCATGGCCGCGTTTTACAGCTCGAAGCCGTTGTGGGTTTCGAGAAAAACGATAAATAAGCGTTTAAAGTGCTGAGAAAACAACCGCACGAGCCTCTTTTCCTGCCCGAGAAAATTAAAGAGCCTCCGCGAGAGCGTGTCGGTTTAACCCCACGGCGAAAACAAGCTAGCAACATCCCCCCGAAAACACCAACTCTCGGTGTGTTTGTCTCATTTTTCAGTTTATTGAAGCCTAAATTGATAAAAATCGATTCTTCCCCGACACAGAGTCATGTTTTAATTTAAAGATGAAAAAAAAAACACGAGAAGAAACGCTCAGCGTGAGACGAAGCTGGGACACAGCTATGGCCGACAGGCTCGTCTTCACGGATAGCAAGAAGCAAACAAAAAGCTTCGTTTTCTGGCAGCAGTCTCCCTCAAACATCTAAACCCCGAATTGTTTATTTCCATAACCGACACACACTCTTCGTCCCCTCCATCACGGGGGGTTTAACGACACAAACGAGCTAGACGATCCCTGCCAAGCAGTTCGAAATAGCTTAAACGCTGATGTCGAAGAACCGCTGGAACACAAACACCAATTTATGTAAAACACCTCAAGGAAACGTTTAAAACTTAAAGCCGTGAAAACAGTTGAACGAAATTATGGACAAACTAGCAGATGTTAACCTCCACGAACCAAAAGTTTAAGCGTTTACATCAAGGCAAACTTGAATAAAGCACTACTTACGTATTTCTTTTGGATGATATTCCTCTTAGGTCTTTCTTTGCTCATTATTCAATCCACACACACAAATGTTTGGCTATAATAAAGAGAATGGCCACATGGATTTCTTCTTTTCTTTCGCTCGTGCCTCTGCTGGGCTCCACCAAACCTGACTCTTTAAATCCCCGGCTCTCTCTGGAGGAAGGGGGAAAAGCTTCGCTGGTTGTGCAGAATCCTCGCTGGCTCGCTCGGTGTTCCCCCTTTACAAAAAAAACCCCGATCGGATGAATAAATCCCACGATTCAAGGTTCCGCGGCGGTGAGCAGACACAAACTGGACCCAAACTCGCTCATAGCCACAACAACTGCACAACAATAAGTTCCATTCGCTCGAACACAGCTCGGCGTCTTGTCCGTCTCTGCGCACTCTCCCCGGGCTCTTTTTACGCACATGAATACAGCGGAGGCTGCCGTTTTCACGAGTCACATCTTGTTCTGAGGCTGACCGTGCGACGGCTGTGGGTGGGGGTGGCGGGGATCAATAAATAAACATAAAAAAATAAAACGCTTAGGCGTCACGTTGTCCCTAAAGCTGGAGCTTGCGGTCGTCGAGAGAGCTCTCCAGCGGCACTGCTCCGCCGACTGAGAGCAGCCCCTTTCTTCCAGGCCTTAGCCTATCACGTCCTCCAGAAGGCAGCGGTAACTTCAAACTCCCCGTGAGACAGCCCCCAGAGGGCCAGGCTCTGCCACACCACACAGGCAGGGGTAAATTCATCAATCAGGTCAAAGGAGCAATATGTAAGACTTAAACAGTGAAGTAATCACAAAACAGTCTATAGGGAGCCTAAGTCTCCTCCCCTTCCGGTCGGGTCATGGGTCCCCGGAAGAATGAAAAAAAATTAAAAAAATGAATGCAAGTCAACTGGGCTAAAAGAGCTATTTTGTTGTTACACGCATGGACGTAATTTTTTGGGGGGGACAGGGGGGACATGCCCCCACTTTTTCCAAAGTCAAGTTTTGACCCCTGCACTTTTTACCATCCAAAAACAATATTATGCTATATTAAATTGACACTGGTTGAACTCTAGGACCAAGCAGAAAACAACCGTTTGTGTTGAAGCCTGTTTCCCATTAGAGGATACTGTAAAGATACCCCCCGTGCCCCCCCCCCACACACACACACACACACACACACACTTCTAAAGTGAAAATTACGTCCATGGTTACACGTATGTTGCACTGCACTTTAAATGAAAAGTAATGATGGGGGTTTCGACCACGCCAGTCCTGTACTTTGAGATTCATTAGCTTGTAAAAATTCGTAATTAGTATGACTACAAACCAGAATGTGACATCACCACAGAATCTGCTCTCCCCTAGCGTAGCTGCTACTTACCACATGGCCAGATTTATGGCGGTTCTTGCCTCCTGTGGGAAGTTTGCTGAACTTACAGCCATTTTCCCTCAGTTTTCTCCATGTGTGGTTTGATGACGTCACTTTCGTGATGCGCATTTGTAGTCCTGGACTTATTTTCACACAAAACCTAAATCATCACTCCCCCTCGTTCGAAAATAATTGCGTTTTTGGTATCAAAATGTGTCTAAAATTCACGGACATCATATGTGAAATCCGTGGCACAAAACAAGCGGAATTAGAAAATAGAATTTTTAGTCCCATTGACTTGCATTAATTTTTTTGCTCTTCCGATGACCCATGGTCTGGAAGTAGATGGGCGTGACTTGGGCTCCCGAATGAATATTTACTATTGTGTTTGCATTGTTTTCATGTATTTCAGAGACTTTTGAACACAAAAAAATTTGTCCTTCATTCCCCTCACCTTGTGTCTAGAATCTTCTGGGCTGATCCGTAAAAGGCAACATCTGTGAAATACACGGAATGCCATGGAGTGAGTTTTTGTTTAGAAAAATGGGCTGCAGTACCCAAATTTGACCAGGGGATGTCACTCTTACTTCATTCTACACATTTCACCTTTAAAGCCGCATACCCGATATTTATAGGGTTAATGTTGTACTAGTTCAAACAAGTTTTTTTTTCATAGGGAGACAAAGCATGAGAAAGAACCAGCTTGATGATCATTTCTAGACACATTTTAGAAATCATTTTGAGTATCCTTTGAATGCGGGCCGCCTTTTTGCTTTGCTGTGATGTAATTGACCTTATAAAGCATTTTCGAAAAGATGCCGCCCCCGGATTTGTATACACCCATACACCGGGGCACCAGTAGGTGTCCCCCTTTGGGTTCTATTGCTAAAAACATCTCAGAAAGTGAAGATATTTTATGTCTTATGTAGAAGTTTTCGCTGTTAATTTTTTAGTATTTAAAAAAAATCAAAGTTAAATATAAGCAAACACTGATGCCAAACTTTGTAAGAATGTAAGGTTGGGCTATTTATCATCAGAAAAAAAAACAATTTCTTACATCCACGAATAAATCAATGTTTAAAAAATTAACAAATGATCAGATCATTACTTTCTAAAAGGAAACCTGTGATGAAATCAGGAGTAAATGACCCAAAAAGATGATCCTGATGATTACCTTCATCCTGCATTAATCATGCTGATTTCATCCTCATTCATGTCGCAAGAAGATATCCATTCTTCTTCTGGATGTGATGTAGATTCAGCATAAGTCAGTCCACAATAAAAGCGCAGAACTTAATTCAATTCAATTTTATTTATATAGCGCCAAATCACGACAAGAGTCGTCTCAAGGCACTTCACATAATAAACATTCCAATTCAGGTCAGTTCATTAAGCCAATCAGAGAAAATGTTTCCTATATAAGGAACCCAGCAAATTGCATCAAGTCACTGACTAGTGTCAGTGACTGTACAGCAATCCTCATACTAAGCAAGCATATAGCGACAGTGGAGAGGAAAACTCCCTTTTAACTGGAAGAAACCTCCAGAGGATCATGGCTCAGTATAAGCAGCCATCCTCCACGACTCACTGGGGATCGAGAAGACAGAGCGCACACACACGCACGCACACACACACACACACACACGCACACATGTGCGCATACACACACACACACACACCAAGCAATGTGTCCATGGTTACATTGTGATTTCTTAGTACATATTCTATTTGGTGAGAGATAAACTTTATTGTATTTATCCTAGTGGATCTATAATTAAACGGGTAAACTAGTAGTAGCACATCCAACGTCAAGGCAAGCAAAATGTTATTATCAGGAGAGGGAGATGTGGTTAGCAGCAGTGTGCTAGACGATGGCCCCCTCCATGAGGCCACCACAGCTCAGCAGAACATTGTTGTAGCTTCTTCTGGGGAGAAAAACACTTAGATAAAAAATAAAGTTAACAGCTGAAATTGCAGAAAATAATACAGTTAAAGAGCAGATTGTAGAAGAAAGCAGTAGAGTGTGAAAAGTGGTCAGTGTATCCTCCAGCAGTCTAAGCCTATAGCAGCATAACTACAGAGATAACTCTGGATAACCTAGCCTTTTTAGGCCTAGTCCACACGTAGCCGGGTTTTAAAAAAAACGAATATCCGCCCCTCCAAAAACTTGCATCCACACCACCTTGTTTAAAAAAAAACTCTGTCCACACGTACCCAGATAAATACGTTGTTAAGGACATGCCAGACCTGTAGGCGGCAGTACTTCCCCCGTTCTTAACCTCGTCCTTCGTCTGTGGTCTTCCGCAAGGAGCAGTAATTCCTCTTGCAAAAACAAACAAGCAGAAAGCGCTTGGACAATTGATAAAGCGAGCGCAGCTCTGAGGGCATCCATGCTGTCGGCTAGTGTAAACACAGGTCGCACACGTGATGTCAGCATTTTTTTGTCGCGGAAAGTGACGTTGCGGACCTTAAAACTCCGGTTTCGTCTGTCCACACGCAGACGCCCAAAACGGAGAAAACGCAGATCTTCACTTTGGCCGGAGTTTTTAAAAAGATCCGTTTTTGTGTGGATGACAGGCCAAAACGTAGAAAAATATCTACGTTTTGGCAGATCCCCGGCTACGTGTGGACAGGGCCTTAGATGGAGGCATGTTGGAGGCAGGGCAAGGGAGAGGCGTCTTTACCGACCGTACACTCCACCTCCCTCTACTCCCCCACTAACTTACTGACTTTCCTTTTACATAATTTTTATTAATGCAAGAAACACAGAACATCACAGAATTCCTATTGACAACATATCATTGTAAATGAAATCCTGCATAGTAGAAAAGTGTAATTTTCAAGCGAATCTTGTCATTTACATCACAGGAATATATTTTTGTCCCTAACCAGTGATGTCTTGTCCTTTTGCAGAGTCAGAGACGAGCTGATGAGGCTGCTGAACACCGTGCCTTTAGCTCCCATCACCCTGCTCTCTTAGGGAGTTCATCGGGGGCTTCTGCTCTGCTGGTGCTGACATTTAGACCCACATGAATCAATGAGACAGGCTGCAGAATTAGGCCTGTGTTCTGCAGGAGCACCCCACATGGCTCACATTTAGCCCACGCTGTACACAAACAGAGGAGTCAGCGAGGATGGAAGGAATATCGAAATGTTTTAAACTGGTGCTCACTGGAGAGGTCCTGAACCGCCTCTATCTCACTTGTTGTAGGTAGCTCTTTGATCGACCTCAGTTTGGAGAAAAGTAAATTCTTAGCTTCCAGAAAGTGTTCATCTGTGATCCCAGGGTCAAACACTTATTGGAAAACAAAGGAAACCAAGTATGCCGGATGCATAAGTGTCGGGTAACGTCAAGAAACGTAGTACAAAGCAATAATCCAGTTTTATTGTGGATAGGTGCGTTTCCGGCCCAAAGCGTGGCGTTTTGAAGCATCTCAGAAGCGTAGAACTCAATGCTCACGCTTTGAATCACCTTTTTTTATCTGCTATGCTTCCTTGTCACTTCAAACTCTGCAGTTCAGATGGAGCCAGACAGGAAGAGAAACACGAAGCAGTGTAAAACATCCAGAAACGTACCCACTTACAGATTTCTAGTTGCTTATCTGGTGAAAAAAGTTGATCATTTCCTGTGAAACTCTCCCGTAGCTGAGGTAAACAGAACAGGCTTTTTGAGATTCATGCTGTCATCTTTCTCCATTCTTGTTATCATGTGAGCTGCTGAAAAAAGGTGTGGCGTTGTAATTGTCCAGATGAGGAACACTGCCGTGTTGAGCTGTGTTGGGAGTAACGCGGTACAAAAGTAATTAGTTACTTTAATGCATCGCTTTTTGCTGTAATGTGGTAATGTAAGGCATTACAGAGAAACAAAATTGTAATATTTACTCTGTACAATCAAGGACGTAATTTTCACTTAAGAAGTGAGGGGGACACGGGGGGGGGGGGGGGGTATCTTTGCAGTATGTTCTAATGGGAAAAAGGCTTCAACACAAACCAACCAGTGTCAAGCTCAACCAGTGTCAATTTAATATAGCGTAATATTGTTTTTGGATGGTAAAAAGTGCAGGGGTCAAAACTTGACTTTGGAAAAAGTGGGAGGGGGCATGTCACCCCTGCCCCCCCCCCCCCAAATTATGTCCATGGGTACAATTGTCAGTGACGCTGTAATTACAATGCATTTTTAAACCCAGAATCAAGATGCGTTTCTTAAAAATTCAAATTGCGGGAAGCCCGAAAAAAGATCCAGTATCTGCGTATATTACGTCATTTATGGACTCAGCTTTGCGGGCAGAGAGGACGCAGCGGTAACGGCTCAAATACTCCAGCTGCGTCCTGCACGCGGCCGCTGTAA